ACACACACACACACACACACACACACACACACACACACACACACACACACACACACACACACACACACCATCAATAGTTTTAAAGAGTAATGCCTTTCAGACAACTCTTACTAAACACTTTTACAATTCCAGCTGAATTTCCAGTGTTACACAATAATATTCAGCATGGTTTTTTTTAACATTTTTTCTACATTAAATTCTGTTTTAACTGTTGCGATTTTCTTCTTATATATCTATTGTTAAAAAACAAAAGTCCAATTGATGCACATTTATTTCCATCTTATCAAGAACCAAACCCTCGCTGTTATTCTTGTTTGTCAGGAACATAAAAGCCTCATAAATTTATCTTTACCACACCACCAAGTCAGATTTATAAATCATTGGTAAAGACCTGGGGACTGAACAGTTGTGTGTAGTCATGCATACATAAACATGCACAGACAATATGCCCAAAGGGCTGTACAGCACTGTCTACCTCCTACTTTTCCAGCTGGTGCTAAGCTACCACTGAGCAGGGATATGACGGTACATATCTTTACACTTCAAGATGAAATGATGATAAAAAAACGTAGTGTTAAGCATATAACTACTGTTCCCTGAAGGAAAGGAACGAGGTACAACACATCATGTATGGGAAACCATGCCCCTGCGTGTCCTGGCTGAAGCCACCTCTAATCACGTCTTTAGGCAGGTGACGTGATGACGACAGATGTCAGGCTCCGCCTGCACATATATATACTGTTGCCATCACAGTCACTCCTTAGTTTGGTAACCGCTCTTCACCGAGYCCAGCTGTGCAGCGGGGCCACCATGTGTTGTACCTCGTTCCTTTCCTTCAGGGAACAGTAGTTATATGCATAACATTACGTTCCCTTTCAGTCAATTCACTCGGTACAACACATCAAGTATGGGACATATATATACGCCCCGCGGAGCAGCACCAAACTTGGGTCATATTAACATGCTAGTGCAGCACTTCAGACCCAGCGGAGAKCACAGAGTGAGCCACCGAAGGGGCTGTCACATCTAAGCGGTAAAACTGAACAAATGTGTGCGGTGAAGACCAGCTGGCCGCAGCACAGATGTCACTCACAGGTACCCCTTTAATTGTGCCCAGGATGCTGCTACACCCCTGGTGGAGTGAGCTCTCACACCAGATGGGACTGGGAGACCCTTGCTGCTGTAAGCTAACGAGATAGCCTCCACAATCCAGTGGAGAGTCTCTGTCTGGACAGAGCYCTGCCCCTGAGTGGGTTAGCAAYACACACAAACAGCTGATCACATGACCTCACCTCCTGTGTGCG